TTTTTTTTTTTTTTTTTTTGTGGAACCGGGCATTGAACTCATGTCCTTGCGCTTACCAGGGAAGTGCTCATTCCACTGAGCCATCTCCCTGGCCCCTAAAGGAGATTTGAAAACCACTCCAGTTAACAGCATGAGAGCAGTAGGCAGGTGCCACAAACGCGTCTGACTGTAGGGCAACTCAGAGGTGACAGGGACGAGCAGAGGACACGTGCAGCCGGGGAGGCGCCCAGGACGAATGCTCAGGGGAGCGGGGCAGGCATTTACCTCGCGACGTCCATGGAGCTTGCCCCAGATTTAAAGAAATCTGTGGAATCTTCAATGACGCTGACGTTGCTTAAAATTCCAGCCCAGATGACCTGTGTATGGAGGGGAGGTGTGTGGGGAGGCGCCCCGGAACCGCGGCTGGAGCCCCAAGACCCAGGCCACAGCCTGCCTGTCTGCAGGCGCGCAGAACAGGTGGGCGTGAGCGGGGCGACGCACACTGCCGCTGGCCCTGGGGCCACCGCCGCTGAGGCCGCGCTGCTGCCCGCTGGCTGCCTGAGTGGCAAGGGCCTGGACTACAGGAGAGGCCGAGTCCTGTGCCCACCGCGACCCCCGCAAAGCCGACCCAGAATAGCGTACACGGGGTGCGCCACAGACACTTTGGAGTCCGTTTCCCATTGCAACTCACACAAAAATAGGAAGCCAAGTTCCCTGCCCACCACCCGAGGCCAAGGATGCCTGCTGCGAATGCGCCCGGTTCCCACGGTGGAGGGAGGTGAAGAGCCCCACGCGGTCACCTTGATGGTGTCCGCCACCTTCAGCTCCTCGGCTGTGAGTTGTACCACGGAGGCTTCGCCCGCCGAAAAGTACTGGGAGGCAGGAATCATTTTTCCATCTTCAAACTGCAGATTTCTCACCACCAGCTGCAAAACAGCAGCCGAGCAAGCTGCAAAACAGCAGCCGAGCAAGCGCGAACGCTGAGGGCGGGTCGTCCCCCGGCCCGAAGGGTGGAGAAAGTCCCAGAGAATGAAGAGGGAGAGACTGCACACCACTGCGCGCAAAAGCACAGAAATGGCGTCGTCATGGTGGTGGCCGGAAGGAGACAGAAGAAGTGTGGGTCGGACGCTGGCTTCGGGAGCCCAAGTGCTTGGGCTGAAGCCGGCTTTAACCGCGGACAGCAGGACTAACCGCGCCTCTGCTGCCGCACGCGGTGCGGGTAGGCATGAAATGGCTTCCATCTCGGAAGCTGGAGAGGGCCTGATGCCAGGGTTATGCCCACTTCACTGGGCATCCCTGAGGCTCTCGGAGGCGAAGCAATCTGCCCAGCGTCCCCCAGGTTCGAGGAGCACCACA